TGCCTGCTCTTTCCATATTTTGTTGCTTTCTTGTTGGCAACGTATTGGTACAGGGATTCCAATCGTTCCAGTTTTTATAAATACACCCAAGTAGAAGGCAATAATCCTAGCTAGAAGAAAAAGAAGAGAGTAAGAGGAGAGGAGAGTATTGTATCCAAGAGGATAAGCTCATGAACAAGAAGGTAATATAAGTGGTGACCGAGCCTCACTTGAGACTATGGCAAGAGTATATACAACTATGATTTCTAGCAATCCTGTGTATCACTTTTGCAGCACTATGTGTAGGAGTCACCATCTCTATATTCTGTGTAGGATGGGTATCTAAATTCTGGTAACAAGCAGCGATCGAGGTCCTTCTTAGCTAATTTGGTGAATAAATCTTGGTATTTTTAATTTTTCTTTGAGCTTAAAATGAAATCTTGTGGTCTACCATAATATTGTTATATACCAGTATGATACAGTATCCTGGTTCTGACACTGGTTCCACAGAACGGCATTTATCATTCCTTCTCTGTGTGATATTTTCCTTAGATGGGCTGTTTGGAAAGAGACCTACTTTCCGCCCTAGATTGAAACAAGTACAAGTATTATACAATTCTAGATGTCTCCAGTGCTTACTACAATACCACCACAGCCCTGGAAAAAGTGGCAGCATCTCAGCCTTTACGGTATAGTATGATAGTATCATAAACATTAGCTTTTACAAGTATTCCAGTCATAGGCTTGTTCATCTGCCCTAGACTTAGAGCACAATTGGCAAATGGGGGGATAGCGCCAAGGGCAGTAAGCCACTCAATACAAATTTACTGAGCGATTATCTCAAGTCCCACCAGCTACCCCCCATGCAGAAGATCCCCGGATCCCAGGGACTACTGTAAAAGCAAATCCCCATATATTGAGCATGAACAAAATTAACCCCAATTCAATGGAGAAAAATCTTCAGTAATAACAACCACACTCATCCAACAATCCACTATTATAAAAACCAAAAAAAAAATTAAAAGGTGTAAATACATAGTAGAAATTAATATTTGGTATACAATCCATCAGCCTTAATAATTGCCTCTATTCTATACACCATTGATCCAGCTAAAGTATTAAAAACTGTTAGATCAAAAAGTTCCTAACATTGAGTAATGGCCTCTACTATTGCCTTCTTGACTATATTGACATCACCCTTCATAAGATATAGCTCAGGGTAGTACTTGTGAAGCTTACTTTTCACCAGAGACCAAATATTTTCAATTGGATTGAAATCTGGTGAATAGGCAGGAATTTCTATCAGTGTAATTCTCTGCCCTCTGAGCCATCTCCTAAAAGGCAAGTGAGTCTTAGCATTGTCAAAGATAAAAAATTCCTCTTCTTCTCCAGCCTTTTCTCTGATATTCTCCCATATCCCTAGAAAGTCATAATGATCATAAACATCAATAATTGACTTCCCAGTAACTCTACCCCTAGCAGAAGAAGGATCAGGAAAAACAGGCAAAAAAAGACCATGAGTTTGACTATAAAAACAACCAGTCATCATTTGGCTAATCCCTCTCTCCCCTCTTCTAGCCTTAGGTTCAACACAATCCTTATTCCATTTCTCATATGGGTATCTGAAAACCCATTTTCTCCTCTTTCCTTCTCCCCTTTCCACAGCTACCTCATCTCCTCACATTGCCTTCCTTCTTCACATCTCCTTTATCCAATGCCTATGAGCTAATGCCCATTCCAACCTCTCTTGAGCTAGATCTTCATCCAAATGAACTCTCTCTTGTACCATCCACTTTCTAAGATGCTTTTTTTCAAGTATTCTCCTTACTGTGCTACTAGAAACATTGGGAGCAACTTGCTCAGCAATGTCAGAATAGGTAGTACAGCAATTTTTAAGAGCTTCCTCCACCATAGTATTATCCTGTGACTTGATAGTTTTAGGATGTCTTCCTCTACCCTTATTCTTCTTGCCCTCTTGATGTCTCTTTGCAATTGTGTCTCTAACAGTAGTGTAGGGGATATTAAGGTAGTGGGGATTTTGCTGATATCTCATCCGAGGCTTGTGTAACCCAAGAATCCTTCCCTTGGTAAACTCAGAGAGATGTGTGGAGGGAATAGGTTTTTGGGCATGACTGCAAAGAATAGGAGGTATAGTTTATGGAAAAAAAGGAATTGAGCAGAATGGTTTCTTCTTGGTTGACTTAGAGCAATTTTCTTAGGTACTGTTGAGAGTGCGGGGTGATGAAGAGGGGTGGGTTGCCACTGATTGTTGAATCGCGGTTAATTTTGTCAACGCACAATACGTTCTGCGTATTCTAGGAAGTGGTAGGCAACGGCATTGTCACATCCATACAAACAAGGTGAAGGACAGTGTTGGGGAATTGTGGGATGCAGTCTACTGGGGGATATGGGGATCCATTATTGTATTGTCTATTCGATGCGCCAAGTTAATGTCTACCGTGTGATCCCGTAGCGGGGCCAAATAACGCGGGGGGTGTTGCGGATATGTCAACGGCGTCAGTAAGTTAGGAGTTCACCCCCCTAGCTTCTGAAAGCTATTTCGGAATACCCTATGGATTCTCGGAGCACTTCTGTGTTCCGTGCAGCTTGTTGCTCGGGGCGTCGGCCGGATGCGCGATCCTCTAGAGATAATGTGCCTTCTCTTTCCCTGCTAGCTGGGTGAACTATGATCCTCCATATCACTCACAATCCGATGTCCTCCATCGTGAGTTTCAATAGGAGGCTCGTCTTGCGGTGGAGATACGAGCTTCCCGTTGGATCTTTACCATTAAAACCCATCACTTATCACCCACCCGCAGCTCCTCATAACCCATCACCCTGAATAAAAATGCGTCAATAATATTAAACGCCATTAGTGCGAGAAGAAAAGATAAAATTACTCTACAAAATATCCAATCCCACCCCAAAACTAAAGGGAAATGTGCGAAGCATTACACAAAGCCTCTTAATCCAGTCCACGAAAATTAGCAAGTTTCTGCGGACCCGCGCTCTTAGCTTTTCCAGTCCCGCCCTTTCGCTTTTTTCTGCGCTTCTTGGGAAATTGTTGCTCATGATCGCCAAACCCATCCTCCAGGTCGGTGTCAGTGTCGGTTTCTGAAAACGATAGAACCACAAGGCTATGGCGGG